TAGTATGGTATACCAATTGAGCTTGATGTCCCCTGCAGCCACGGTCCTGAGTCCACAGGTCCAACTACTCACTCCCTCAGGGCAGCTGGCTGTGGCCAAAAAGGGACTACAACCTTGCCCCTTGTTGGTCCTACTATACACCTGGACATTATTACAGCATTCACCGATACGCATTTAGAAACATAATCTGCCAACCCTATACAAGGTCATGGGCACACTTCCCCCTGCCAAGACATACCTGATCATTCAACCTGTCCACCCATCTATTCACCTGTAGATCAGTGCTTGCCATTCCTGACAACTCAGCACTGTCAAGGCTAAAGGGTTCATCTTTGTTGTCTGTACCTCCCGTGTACCTCTCTGTGTTTGTCTCTTCCTCAGTGCCACTGTGTTGATCACCTACTTTTGGTCCATTGCCCTTACCTTCCCCCAAATCAGTACTTCTCTCTACTTACCTAGCAGTGTGGAACACCATCTCTTATGATCAAAATTAGGTTTTCATGCTAGCTTTTTAGTTTTGTTTGTTCAGTCTTATGAGCAGTCATTAGCTCTTAAGAATTATCTATCATTCTTTCATTGCTCTTTAACATTTAAAATTTTGTGTATTGTATATATGTATCAGATTTCACTTAGCCATTCTTTTATTATTGGACCTGTTACTGCTTCCATTTTTGATAACACATACTATAAAATACGTGTGTGTGTTTATCTCCTTGACTGTTATTCAGATGCTAAATTTGTAACTAATTACTTCCTTAAATTAAGTTCCTAAAAGTGGAGTAACTTTTAATGCCCTTGAGTTATTTTCCAAACTGATTTACAGTTTCATGACTAGTGGCTAGGAGTTCCTGCTTATTACGTCTTTACAACATTGTTGTATAATTTTTTTTTTTTCGGACCAGTTTGATTAAAAAAGTTCTCAATTAGAAATTTCTGTCAGCTTTGTTCAGTGTTGATCACTTGTTATTTTTATGAACGTCTGTTCATACTTTGTCTCCTATTCTCAGGGATCTAGAGTGTTTTTCTGATTAATGTGTAGAGACTGTCATTATAAGACTGTCAGGACTTTAGAACATGTGCAGTAACTACAGTTTTCCCAGTTTTTACTTTGCCCTGTAAATTTGGTATTTTAAAACCTAACAAAAACAAGCTTCTAATGGTAACTTTAGGCTGGATTCTCACAGCCAAAGCCGTCTGACAAAGTTGTGGACTGCATCTGACCAGTTAGTGACTTACAGAAACCTTGCCTGGAGCAGTAATAGCTAGTCTTATTTTATTCACTCTTTCTAAAATTGTATTGATCATGTTTGTGGATAACAGTGGAAACCAGTCTAGTTGTTTGAAGTGTGTTTTTGTTCATCTTTGTGACATTTGGCCTAATTATATGGTAAAGGAAGCTGATAGTAGAACATTAACAACAAGGCCAAATAGCCTTTCCCTAGGCAGATGCTTACTGACTGATACAATTAAGACACTTTTTAACTTGGAGTATTTTGGTCATGTCAGCTGTTTTGTAGAGGTGAACTTTGACACCTTCCAATGTTGCATGGTTGAATGACGTGCAAGCATGACTAGTCTTCAGGCTGCTAACTAGCTGCTAACTGCCTCCCGTGCCTGTGCTGTCACGTGTTGGTTTGGGTGGATTACCTGGGCTCCGTTGCCCATAGGAATTGCCATGATAGGACTGTTCAGACTTCATAGCAAGTCTACAAGATGGCCAGCTGAGCAGCTCACCTGAGTCTTCACCCCATGGAGAGTGGTTTCTGAAGATCACCTTGCCTCCTCCAGCCTGCAGACTCTCCCTTTCTGTCCCTTCAGCTCATCAGAACCGGGTGTCCGCCATCATCTTCAGTGTGGCCGTGGAGTGGGTGATCAGCACCGGCCATGACAAGTGTGTCAGCTGGATGTGCACCCGCAGTGGCAGCATGCTCGGGAGGCACTTCTTCACCTCCTGGGCCTCCTGTTTGCAGTATCCTCCCTCGAGAATGTGGGCCGTCTCCTTTCCCAGTGCTCTGTTCCCTTTTCTCAATACATAGTTTGGAATCTTACATTAATGGCTGATTGAGATCCAAAGGCTGGATGGTTCCTACCTGTTTCATATGAAATCCAAGAATTCTGCTTCTCCCATTCTTTGATATAAATTGGCTTATTGAAAATAAGAATGAAATGAATTGCTGTTCTCTCTGGAAAGTGCTACATGTTTTTAATATGATGGAAAACCCAAGTATCATTAATGCAAAACCTTCTCCTCATTTCTTTGCATTTCAAACCGAAAGACTTTTGGTTGTATATATAAAAAAAAATAGATTGGTCTTCTAGTAATTGGTTAGTTGTAGAACCTACTAGAGGACATGCCATGAAGGTTTGTGACACTGGGATACACAAATGGGCCACATGGAGTCTTTACACCTTGTACTCCTTGAATTGTTATACCAAGGTTTTGTTTAAGGCTTTTGTTTACAGAAAGTGTAACTCTTGCAGTAGTGCCAAAGGTGCCTCTGGATCCCCCAAAATGTTAAAAATTACTGCCTTAAAAATGTCATGCTACAATAGGAAGTGTGTTTCACATAGCGCTCACCTTGCTGGTGAGTGCCTGTGAGTGCTGCCCATCTCAGTGATGGCAGGAAGGAGACTGCTGGCAGCATGCCAGGGCCCCACGGAGTTTCTGTCTCAGAGTTGAATGTCTGGTCTAGCAGAAATCTTTATTTGCGTTGAAAGCCTGTATCAAGTGTTTGCCACAAATGAATGGGCAGCATGAGATATTTAAAGTAAGCATTTAAAACTTTAGGATCGAGCAAAGGAAAAATACTCAGATCTAGCTGGAAACTGAATGAGTATTCCTGCTGTGTGTTAGATTCCTCATAACTTTATAGAAAATAGCAAAAAATCAAATCGTCATGACGTAACCTGCGGGGCTCCTTGTGGTCTGTTTTGGGGTTAGAACAGTAGTTATTCTGTAATACAGAAAGTACTGGTTTTCCACAAATTTTTTTGGCTACAGACTGACCGAGAAGGTAATGAGTTGTTACCAATAGTTAATATATTTGTAAAATTTAAGTTTACTACTACTACCGATACTACCTTTGAGATTTTTACCTTATCCCCAACCATTTAAACCATCCTGCTCATTTAAAGCTTAATCATCTAAATCAAAAGAAAGATGTATTCATGTCCTGTATTTGCTTTCCCTTTTACATTCTGTCCAGATTTCATAAATAGCTGTCTTATTCCAGTTCTTTCTTGCTGTATCACTATTGAATAGTTTTCCTTTTGCCCACTTTATTATAACTTGATTGTAACTACTTGTTTTCATGTCTCTTTTCTTTACTAGCTCTCATTCATCTTTTCCATTGTCAGTTTCTAGGATCTCGCTTGGCATAGTACAGGTACTCAGTGAATTCTTGTTGAAAGAATAGCTGTTTACTTTCTCAGGAATTCCAGTTTTTTATTTTTCTTCAGTCTTCATGTATTGCATTATTTTCAGTTGGCCATCTCCTTGTTATAATTTCAGTTTTGTGCTTATTCTTTTTAAAATGTGCCTTTCCTGCTGTAAAACATTGATTAAAGCTGCTAACTCTTATAAGGATTTTGAGATGAGCTGTGCTATGTGTCCTTGACCACTTCTCCTCAGATATGATTTTGACACTCAGTATGCTTTCGTTGGGGATTATTCTGGACAGATCACCCTGCTGAAGCTTGAACAGAGCGCCTGTTCAGTTATCACAACCCTCAAAGGACATGAAGGTATGCTACTAATCATTCAGAGGGTTTCCCCACTAATTTGGGTATCTAACTGCACTTCTTAACTCTGGTTTCATGAATGGTTAACTCCTAAGGAATTGACCAGATAGGGGATTTAGGTCTCAATGAGTAGAGAGTAGGGTGTTATCTTATTTACTTTTTAAATTAAGTTTCTGTTTTCAGAAGACCTTTAATTCCTTGTACCTAGTAAGATCTTTAGAAGAATTACTGTTTTTTCATTTGTTGGTTAACAGGGCTTGATAGTTCAATACTATTAAGGAAATGTTTGGCTGGTTGGGCCTCTGGTTGTGAAACATGCCTTCAGCAGAGACTAACGGAAAAGAATGACCGGAATTTATTATTTCTACAGTGCAGTAAGTGGAGTAGGTTCTACGGCAGGGTTTTAAAATTTCGTTAGCTGCAGATGTATAATAAAGACATGTCATTGGATGCTAAGCTATAATGTAACAATTTTTATATAGAGCACAGGATCAAATTCTGATGTGAGTCACAATTAGAAGCTTTGAGACCATCTGGCTTAGATGAAGAACTGGTGATTTGTTGAAAGGACAAATTGCTGATGGACCTACTTAGGACAGTAGGTAGTGTTCTCAGTTTAACAAGTGCTTTCTTACTAATCTGTTTAGGTGAAGTAGACTGTGTCAGATCAGGGACCTGGGAGGGGAAAGGGAAGAAAGGAGAAGAGTAACTGCAGTTAGAATGGATTCAGGCCAGAAGCACAGCCCATTCATGACTAACACTCTTGTGACCCCCAGGCTTGTAAGGATTCTCTAGGTCTCTAAGGGCAGAATGGTTCTGCTTATACTGAGTAGTGTTCATACTGAAAGACCATGCTCACGTGCTGCTAGGCCTCTAGCTGGGACGCGGGATTAAACAGGGTCAGGGTTCATGCAAAATTGATTCCTACAAACAATTTTCAGAATACAGCACCTCTTTTTTCAATTTTTTTTTTT